CATTGTACTTGGCGTACTATTTATATGTGTACAAACTCCTCTGAGTCGGAGTTGTACTGGTTAGCCTGCGGCGCTGACTTTAATGGGCTATTGAGGCCACGTTGTGTTATGGTGACGGCCGATACGCACCTCTCAAGTGGAGCTGGGTGCGGGAAAATAGCTCAGCAGAAGCTATCCCATACACTTCTTGAAACCCACTTTGAAACCCATCTATAACCACTTCGTTCACCCCAAATCCATCTTGAAACCCACCTTGATTCTCGAAACCAACTTGAAATCACTTCGTTCACATTACACCCAAGTTTTCAATGTTTAGAGGGAGAGTGAAGGTGGTGTTTTTAGGGTTTTGTGGCCGGTAAAGTTGAAGTAAGTTGACGAACATGGCATGAGGGTGGGGTAGAGGAGGTGCCCAATTAGTAGACGAGGAAGAGGAAGTGCACTGGTTGGCGGGAAAGGGTGGGGTGCTAGGAAAAGGAGGTGGGCAGAGGTTGCATTCCGGGTAGTCATGGTTGTTATGGAGGTGGAAGAGGAAGGTGTAGGGAAATTAAAATAAATTAAGATTATTATTTTTAATGTATTTTTTTTTTGGTTATTGATTAGGTTAATTCTTATTTATTAAGCTAATTAGTTGCTAATTGAAAGATATCATCACATTAGGAAAACCGAAAACTTATTAAAATAATGATATTTGGAAGAATTTGCCTACTATTTTATTTATTATCATAAAATTGAGCAAAAATACATGATTATCATCTATAATTTTCTAATAAATTAAGATAGTACTCGTATTGAACAAATCATTAGCCCTTTTTCAAATATACTCGGTTGTTTGGCAATTTGGCTTATAACCATGCCATCATCGTACGTTAGTAATCAAACATGTACTACCAAATACCTACTACCAATATTTATTACAGTTATATTCATTTTCTCATTTACTACTCAAAAGTCGTAGTCTGATATCAATTCTATATTAATGTGAGGTGGATGGGAACCATTCTAGGTGCAAAGGGCCCATTTATTTAACTTTTGAGGACACTAACATTATTTCACGTGAGTAAATGGTTAATAAATATTTTTTTGAAAATTCTACATAGTAATCCTTCACTTTTCCATGTTGTGTTCCTCTTTTAAAAATTTCATGCTATAATTTTAAGGTTTATTTATTGACTACGTTGTAATCTTGCCGTTAACCCTCCGTTACATGTTGTCGTTAGCAGGACCCACTTTACACCTATTTAATTTTTTTTCTCAATTTTCGTGCCAATAAAATGTTCCGTTAAAGGAATTAGTGATCATTTTAATTCTTAAAGGACCAAATTGAGCTCGAATTTTGCAAAGAAATAACGTAGAAACTCCATTTTGTGAATTCAGATTTCCGTAGTTAAATTTAGAATTCACAAAACGGGGCTTTTACGTTTTTTTTTGTCAAATCCGAGCTCTGGATCCTTAAGGGCCAAAATGACCCCTAAAACCTATACTGGGATATTTTTTCAGCATGCAGATTGAAAAAAAAAATATTAAAAAAGTATAAAACGAGGCTTTACTCCTCCTATTACCATATGATTTTGAGATGGAACTTCCTTTGAACTTGCGAAGTAGACTCTCTCTCTTAATTTGCGGGTACGGCCTAAACCCGTATTTAACACAAACTGAACCAAAATAGGTTAACAGAACCAAGCTCATATCAATAATACAATGCCTTTAACACTATATAAAATTTATCAAAAAGTATAACACAATATACTATATTGAATTTTTATTAAACTCCGAAGCAAGGGCGAATTGGTGAGTAATCCAAACATTGCATATCAAGTGGGTGACATATGTTGAGTCAAATACCCTCATGTTGAATCGGGCGTAATCAAAGTAGTTTTGGCTAAACCGAGCCCTAGCTCTTTTTGTTTGCCTTCTTCGGTGTGCTAATTATTAATTAAAATTGAGGGTGTTTCTAGGAGCACCTAAGCTATTATTAAAGGTGTTGAGATCAATTTTGCTAAATAAATATATTCATATCTAGAGTATAGATTAAAACAAGTGTTATCCCTGTTTATATTTTTTACAATAAAAAGGTGTTATTTGTAAGACATAAAATATGTACCTGTTACAAATAATAAATGGAGATGATAAATATAAGCTAGTTGACAATTTCTACCATAATTACCAATCAAAAAAGCAATAGAAGCAATAGATAAAGAAGAGGTTAACATGAGAAACCCGAAAGTCGCGGGGAATATCCATCCTGCCACTCAAAAGCAGGATAGCACTATTATTCTTACTTTAGACTTTTAAAGTTTATTTATGGTGCAAATATCTAAAAAGAAAAGGCAAAAAAATAAATAAACATAGTATTGAAAAAATCATTATGCTTTTAAAATCTGAAAAATGTTGTCTGGCAACTTGGCTAAATCATGTCATCGTCAATCCTTATTATAAATTAGGAAATTTTGACTTTTGCTACCACAGAAAGTCTTGACTTTCACTTTTGCTACCTCTAATTTTTTTTTTTTATTTTACTACCACTAAAATTCACTGTTGTTAGAATTTGCTACCAGAAAAAGAAAACTGTTACTGTTGCCGTTTGTGGGCCCCAAGCAGTTAACTACCCAACGTTCCTTTCTCGTCTTCTCTCTCCTAGAACCCTTTGCTCTGTCTAACTGTTGCTAGCCATGAACAGCTTCCAGCCACCACCACGCTGCAGCCTGATTCCAGCCAACGCGCGGCCTCAACGATCGCCGGAAAAACGCGAGCCGGCGTAACCACCGACGGCCTTTGAATGGCGCGCAACCCTTGCACGCAGCCTCCTACGGTGCCGCGACGAACATGAGAACAAAAACATCCCAAAATTCGAACAATTTCGAATTAAAATCAGGAGTTTCTAGCGTTTGATGTTCGAATTCAATCCCAAAACAAGATTTTGGTATCAATTTTCAATCTTATTGAATTAATTTGATGATTTTCATTCAAAATCAATTTGGGGAAAAAGTTAGGGTTTATAAGAACTTTTGAATCAACTCTTTGATTTCAAAACAAAAATAACAATTATTTACATGATTTTGCAATTGAAATCTAAAGAAAGCAAAGCCCTCAATCAATTTCGACACAACTTGTCGAATTAGAGGTAAAAAATATTCGATTTTCCCTTGTTCGAACCGATCCCCCCTACAATCATACAATCATCATCATCGTCGTCCGTTGGTGGGGGAAAGGGTTTGGGGTGGGGTCGCCGGCGTTCGCCCAAGCGCCGGCCGCTGGCAAGGGGGTGGGGGGAGGGTGGCTGACGGGAGGGGGGCAGTTGAGGGTGGCTGGGGTTTTTTTTTATTTTTAAACATTTTAATTTTTTTTTTATTTTTTATTTTTGAATAAACTTAACGGAGTTGAATAAACTTAACGGAATCCTAACGGATTCCGTTAAGTGATAGTGAAATTTAAATTATGTGATTTTAGGTGGTAGTAAAATAAAATAAAAAATTTGAGCGGTAGCAAAAGTGAAACAGGGGTGTTTTTGTGGTACCAAAAGTCAAAATTTCCTATAAATTATTATCAAATACTCCCTCTCTTTTTTAAAATGCCTCATAGTGATATTTTGTACATATCGATGCAAAACTTTGTTTAAAGTTCAATAATATCTTTAATTATCAGCAACTATAAATTATAACAATTGAATATTAATAATCTATTCATTGAGAAGATTCCAACAAGTACCCACAAGACTATTTTTTCTTATGTTTAATTTACAAATATTGTTCTAAGTATGTTTAATGAATAGTTTCAAAATCCCCAATGGGACACTTAAAAAAAACGGAGGGAGTACATTTTAAAATCCGGACAAGCGTCAGCTATATTACTACCTACTACCAATATTTATTAATTTATTATTTTATCATTTAAATATTATAAATAATTTATTTTATAATGGATTGATATGTCTGTAAGTTTTTAGTAAATACTGATGGTTGAACTCAATTATCAATTTATATACTCTATCACATCCTTCATATGAGAACCTTTTAGGCTTGAAGCGTGGATGTGGCATGAGGTCTCTCTTACTTAGCGCGAAACATTTTACTTGGAAGGTGTGGGTGGGTGTAGGAATGGCAACGATCGGATTCGGGTCATATGCGACTAAATCCGATTCGTTTAGTAAACGGACCCTGGATTCGGATCTGAATTCGAAAAATTTGAGTCCGATCTGACTCGTAATTTTTGGATCCGAACCCAGTCCGTTTATTCGGACCTCCAAATGATCCGAATTTTTTATTTTTTTTTTATTTTTTTGAATAATATATGATATACCTATAATTGCTTGTATTGTCCCTAATAAACTTTATCTGTTATATCATATTGGTGCGTAATAAATTAGAAAATATATAGGGTATAAAGTCTAAACATAACATATTTAAATTATTAATTAAGTTACATAACAAAAATTTGCTACAAACAAGCAAGGAATTGTCCCAATGCAAGTTATAAAGCATATCCTCGTACTCGGACTCGAATCGGATCAGAGTCGATCGGACTTTGTGCAAGGTCCAAGTCCACTCCGTCTCCTATTTGGATTCGGACTATTTTTAAACGGATTCGGATCGGATATTTTTTTCTTAAAATCGAATCGGATTCGAATCAAACCTAGATTGAATTTCCATCCTTAGGTGGGTGAAATATTAATTTAAGTTATATAAATAACGTGAAATCTTTACACATGATAAGATACCTAGTACACTCACACTTGCAATTAACAATAGTTTTTTTTAATACTAACACGGAGGTAGTATAAATAATGCGTATGGTTTGTGTGAACTTTGATCCCCTTTAATCACGGTCAACAAAGCGGCCAAAGTAATCTAAAAATTAAATTTGAAAAATTACTTCATAATCACGATAACAAAAATTATTTGTTTGGATTATTCAAAAAAACAAAAATAAAACTGAAATCGAAGCCACTGACACTATCCCACTTGCCAGACCATCTCTCCGTGACACACTCCCTCACACAACTCGCTCATCTCCACCGTACATCAAACAATCCCATAAATCGATGGCTCAACTCAAACTCATACCATACACCCCACCACACAATATCCCTCCACTTGACTCGTTTTCTTGACTTCCTTTCCCAAACAAATTCATTCAAGCAAATTCATATGACTCCAAACCACACTTGATTTTAGAATTTGTTTCTAAAGAGCACTTCAATACTCAAAAAATTCCCTCAACCCAAAATTCCAATCATGACATCCTCTAAAATGGATGAAGAGTTAAGAAAGGCAGCAGTGAGAGGAGATGTAGACTTCCTTAAAAAATGTGTTGAATCCAATAAACCCATCGAATACTACTTGACTTTCTATCCTGAGGAGGATGACCAATCTGGAAGAGCCCATCATGGCAACATCTTCCACATGGCCGCAAGGGAAAACAAAGAAGAGTTTATTAAAGAAGCCATGGGGATTTTACCTCAAGAAGCCAAGCACCAACTCCTTGTTCAACCAGGGTACGCAGAATGCAACCCTCTTCATGAAGCAGCCTGTGTTGGTAATGTAGTGATAGTAAAGATGTTTCTAGATGTTTATCAACAAGGATTCCGATCTCATCTTTTGGAACATCAACGACCCTGGTTATTCAAGGATTCCGATGGAAATAACCCTTGCTTTGTGGCTGTTATTAGTCATCAAGAAGAATGTGCGTTTGAAATTTATAAAATGGATACGGAGTTGATTTCCAATATGCATAGTTATCGTGGTAGCTCCTTAGTCTACGAAGCTGTACACAAGAAGATGAGCAACTTAGCTTTAGTCATTTTGAAGTCCCCCCATCCTATTAGTTGCAACGGCTACGATGGCTACACTCCATTCCACTCAATACATTATTTAATCGAAGGCTCAGGTAAACATGGTTATTATTAATATCTTTCAATAATGAACTTAATATTTTTTTTAATAGTTCTTTTACAAATAAATATTTAAATATAGGAAATTTCATGGGAAACTACCTTATTAATTTTTTATGAAAAAGAAGAAGGAAAACAAAAAGAAAATAAACGAACAGTAGATGTTGAAAGAGTAGTTAAAACTCCCATAATATGGCAATGAAAGCTTGTTACAACATTTTATACACACTTTATAAACTAAAGTACTTTATTATAACATATTTTATAAGCTAGTTTTTCAAAGCAACTGATTTTAATAAAAAAAAATTCCACAAAATTTCATTATTAATAGTGCGGGTCAAAGTTAGACGATGAAAAAACATGTGGTAAGTCAAAATGGAACAAATACCTCAATGAGAAAGTTGTATTAAAATAATATTGTACTTCGTACAACATCAAATTTTTTTAATTTTTAATTTTTAAGAGTAAGAAATAAGGAAGAGTTTAGGTACGTCTAACATCAATCAAACAAAATCTTATTACGTGGTTACCTTTTTCTTTATAAAGTATTCCGTATAATTTAGTAAGAGTTAACATATACGAATATATGTATATCAGTATATGTATATATACATGAACACACAAATATACACACATGTGCATAATTATAATCTTTGAAAATCTTTTTTTTTTTTTTTTATTACAGAAGAATCAGAAGAAATCTTTCGAGGACTACTTCAGAGAGAGCCAGAGCTAATTAAACAAAAAAATATGAATGGAGATTCGGCATTTACTTTGTGGGCATATTATGGTAAAATTTGGCCATTCAAAATTCTTTTAGATTGTAAGGATATCATCCAAGATGTAAATAAGATTTTCACATACTTGGTATCTTTAACGAATGATTATGGTTGCAATCCATTACACGACTTGGCTGAAAATGTCACGTTTACAAGCAATTCTACAAAAATTGCAGAAATGCTGATAGATATTTACAAAAAAGAATCACCAAGCCTTTCAAATAATCAACATCCTTGGTTAGTGAAGGACATTGATGGAAATACACCTTTGTCATTGGCCATAGCCCATAAGAATGAAAATCCCGCTATATATTTGTTGTCAGTGGATGAAAATGTAGTTACCGAAAGTAAGAAGAATGTTCTATTCTTGGCTGTCGAGGTTCAATGTCATACACTTGCCGAAGAGATATTGAAGATAATCGATAACAAAGGTTGGAATCAACTTCTTACGAATCATCAAAAGCTCAATATCTTGCACCTTGCTCCACTATGCACAGGTGAGTCGACGATCTATTTATCTTTCTTTTTTACCCTTCAGTTATAGCATTACTATTGATAATAGATAATATAAGATAATAGAGTATGTGCGAAGTTGATGATATTCTCATTAAGTTTAACATGTATTTATACACCTAAGAAGTATTGTAATCTAGGTTTACAAAAAATAATAACAAGCTAAGAAGATATACATACAAGCTGTTAAACGAGATAGATATTAGTGAATATTCACAAATGATAATTAAGAGAACATTCTACTCTAACTACTTTTGACTTGGTCATCGTTATCAGATAAAAATATGGATATCTCTTTAGTTTTCTCTTTCTCTTTCTCATCTTTACTATCCACTAAGGGACATCTACATTAAATATGCATAGAGCCATATAAGCATACAGATTGATCATCATCATCCTACCTTTAAATTAAAAGGGAAATTGGATTTTTCCCCACCCAAATTTAACATTCATCATCATCCTACCTTTAAATTAAATCACCCAAATTCCTTCTTCCGATTAAGTATGTGTGAGGATTTGTGATGTATTTTCATAAAACAGTAATCGCAAATAAATGAAATGATGGAGCAAAGCAAAGTACAGAGTAATTGAAGGATAGAAACTGAACGATCGTGTATAGTAGTTTTTTCATTTTTTTTATCAAATTATTTTTTTAAACCACAAAGTCATCCCAATAAAAGGTTTAAATTAGTCAAAATCTAATAAATGGCTGAAATTTAATCTAGTATAATGCCTACAATTTTATTGTAGCCATTTGAAAACTATCCCTATAATTTAAACTAAATTCTTAATCAATAAAATTATCCCAAATGTATACGTGTTGCATCCACAACCAAAATTTTTCGACCAATATTTTTTTTCTTAAAAAATAGCATGATAGAAAAAAAATTACTAAATACAAATTAAACTTACATTAATTTATAAACATAATATATTTTCCTTGTAAATACACATCTGAGTATGCTGGCGAGGAACTAATTTCTTTATATTTATGATATTTTGTGAGGAAATAGAGTCATTTAAAATCTTATTTATTACGCTTAATTTTTTCCTTTGTATTTTTTATGCAAATTTTTTAAATAGAACGAACAAAAAAATATAGAGAATATCATCTAAATATTAATTTCTAATATCTTTATTTATTACTTTCTCAATGTTTTATAAGTGATGCATATTCCTAAAAATCTCTGTTTTTTTAATGACACACTTTATTCCCTTTTATTGGAAACTTTCTAATATTCTTATACTTCCGACTCATTAGTTTCCTGTTTGGTTTATATGGGAAGTTAATTCTTATGAGAAATCATGTTGCATGGGATGTTACTTTCCACTTACAAATCCTAGCTAGGAATTTTGGTATTCCTGTTTAACTTTTTTTTTTTGTATAAATAAAAAGAGCTTGAAATTCCCGAGCCTCAAATTTTGATTAACCAAAGGGGACCACGGTAGTATATTTCTGAGAAATTCTAATTTCGATCCTATAATTTTTTACTCTTTTCACTTTACTACTTTGTTTTTATTACAGATACTTTACTACTATGTTGTTATCAAACAAACAACCCCATTTGCACATTCTCATAAATTTTGATTTGTTTCCCTCAATTTTAAAGATTAACCAAACAAGCTCTCTTGAACTCTTGCTTGGATAAAATAACAAATACGGAGTAAAATGTTTCGATCTCATAAAAAGCGAATGTACGAAGATTTTTAATTAACTAATTATACGAGAATATAAAATAAACGAAAAAGATGAGTCCAATATATCTGACATTAATAGTCTAATATATGACATTATTAATCTAATATCTTACATTAATATTCTCAAATTTGACATTAGTAATCTAATATACTCATGTCATGTATCAGATTACTATTGTCAGAATTCAAATACTCCGTACTAGATTACTAATGTTAGATTACTATAGTTATATATTAGATTATTAATATTAGATATTAGATTTCTCATGTTATATATTAGATTATTAATGTCAGATATTAGATTTCTCATGTTAAATATTAGATTAATAATGACAGATATTAGATTATTAATATCAAATATTAGATTATTAATGTCATATATAAGATTATTAATGTAAATATTAGATTATTAATGTCATATATATTGAACTCACGGTGAGTTTGATCTCAAGTAAAATATTTCCTAAAATAAATAAATAAAAAGTTGCCAATTATTTATTTAATTGTATCATGTCGATTGACTTTACACATAATTCATCGTGCACAACTTTGCAATTACTAATAACTTTAACTATTCATAGTTTAGATTTATTAAAAGTTGATATTATAAATACTACTTCCAAAAAAAAGAGTGTCAATTTTAACAATTGATACATGTCGACTTTTGACATTATATATGTAACATAAGTTAGCTAATAACGAACATAATCATGTATGATCATTTTGATTTTGTTTTCGATTTGTAATTTCAAAACCATCTTTTTATACAAGTAACTTTTAATAATAATTCGTTAAAGATACTACAGTTGAATTGATGCATTGAAAAATGTGTTAACTTAAAAAGTACAAAGGAAGTAAAATACACAATATAATTAGGCTTCTTTTACGTATATTGTTTAATTATGAATGATTGAATAAAAATTATTAAATAGCAATTCTTCTTTACAAGCAGAAAACTTTTGTGCACAACTAATGGAAAGCCATCCAGAATTAATCAAAGGAGTAGATAAAGAAGGATCTACAATAGTTCATAGTTGGGTAAAAAGTGACAAAGAATGGCTATTTAAATTCATATTGGAGAGCGAGTGGAAAGATCAGTTTGTAAAACTTGTTGATGTTAAGGATTACAATTATCAAGACAATCCTTTTCATGTTGCCGCAACTACCACTCATAAAGCAACAAACCAGATTGTACCACTCCTTGTTGAAGCTTACAAAGTACACAAATTTAGTTGGAGCGTAAATGCTATCTATCAATTGCCATGGTTTGAAAAGAATAAAGAAAACGAAGGGCCTCTACACTTGGCATTACACAACAAGCGTGAAGATCTTGCACTTTACATATTGTCACTACTACGGGATGATCAAATTATGGATGAACTGCTAGATTATTACGAGCCAGAGCACTCTACGTTGTTTCTTGCTATACAAAACAAGTGCTCTGAAGTAGCCAAAGTCATATTGGGAAAGTTGGATAAGCGAAGCAGGACCAAATATCTAAAAGATTCCTCGACTGGTCGGAATATATTGCATCTTGCTACAAGCTTAACAGGTATTAGTTTTTCGTTCCTTCATAGAATAATATTTAGCATTTATTATTACACATAATTTTACGAGATTAAAGGTACGAAGTATATGTTATTGGTTAATTACTGGCGCATAGCTGTTATTTATAAGGCAAATAAATAGCATGAATAAGACAGAAGAGTGACGAAAAATATTTTTCTAGTGGTACAAATAAGTATATTAATTGTCATCAAATATTATACCATTATTACTTATAATGGCTATAAATAGTACTACTAAAATAACCTATACTATAATAATATAAAATACATGTATAATGGTACATCAAAAAATACCACAGTAACTATAAAAGAAATTATGTGAATTTATAAGTTAGCCTTCATATATGCATCCCAAATAAATAGCATCTATGCGCCTAATTGCACTCTATGTTATTACATTGTTTGACTATCAATTGTTACTTTGCCTCACACTTGACGAAGACATGCAGGGATTAACTTATATTTCTAATTTGGCCTAGTGAAAAGAAGGGAGACAAATATAATAATAATAATAATAATAATAATAATAATAAAAATAAAAATAAAAAATAATAAAAAGGAAAAATTGCGGAATAATTCGACCTTCGTCTCATCCGCCCAAAATAATACCACCTCCTTTAATGTCAATTCGCTTCAAATGGTCCCAACCGATCAGCTAACTTTTTGTGACAAGTTATCTAACACGTATCAACACCTAATTGGTCCAAATAAAATTTAGAAAAAGTAGAAATTATTTTTTAAAGAAAATTTTAAAAATTATCAATTAATTTCTTAGAAAAAATCAATTAATTAAACGATAAACCACCAACCCCGCCGCACCAACCCCTTCCCCGTCCCAATTCCGGCCCTCCTCTACTTTCACGTCGCGATTCCAACCCTTCTCCCTTTCCCGTCCCAAAGTATTCTTCTTTGACGACGATGATAAGAGGAATGCGACGCTTATTGAGCTCGTCAATGAGATCGAGAATGGCGGAGGTGGGTTCAGAGATGGTAGATATCGCCGCCATTGGAGGTGGTGGAAGAGAGAAAGAAAGATTTTTAGGGTAGCTGGGTCTAACTTTTTTTTTTTTAAATTTATTATTTTTAATTTTAAATTTTAGATATATCACTTTGTGACACGTGTACTTTAAAACTAAACAAAAAATTACCTATTTAATAGGTTACCGGTCACTTGAGACCATTTTAAGCGTATTGACATCAAACGTCGGATTATTAAAAAAATAATTGAAAGGTAAGATTATTTTGGGCGGATGAGACAATGGTCGGATTATTCCAAGCAATGAAATTTTTTTTAATAACAATAATACCTCCATTTTTTCTTATTTGAAGTTTAAAATATTTTATATTTCACAAATAATACCCAAAGTTGCAAATATTATAAAACGAATGTAGTATATATATAAGAATGAATTTTAAAACTCCCTCCACTCTTTTATTATTTTTTTTAGTTTTTTTTATCTTACTACTTTTCATTTTTTTATCTTCTTATTTTGCTTTATTCTTTTTATGGTAAAGAAAATATCCACTTTTATCATTCTTTACCCACCATATGACCCACATAAATTTTATTAACAAACTTTTTCACTCCTACCTCTTTATTTATTTATTTATTTATTTTTTTAAAAAAATGACACACTTACCATTTCATTTTACATAAACAGACTATTGAATGGAAAGATAATGATAATTAAAGAACAAAGGAGTATAGTTTTATAGGCTTAAAGCATATACTCTCTCCATTCTCAATTTTTTTTTTTTTTTTGGTGAAAACCATTCTCAAATTATTGTGCTCTTTTCATAAGCTTAACTTTTAATTTTTATTTTTTGGATCCAATGCAATTGGAAATTGACAACTATAGTTAAGAAAAGACAAGTCAAAGGAAATGAGATTTTTATGATTCTAACTTTTTTATAAACTATGAAATTAGATGAAGAATTTGGGACATGGCTAGTTAATGAAGCACCAGAGTTCATCACCGAACAGGATAACAATAAACAATCACCTTGGGATACAGCATATGAAACTGGTTGTGCATGGTTTATAAAAGTTGTACTGAAAAAGGACCCGTTTGTATTCAATAGAGCACCCTTGGCTTGGATTAAAGCATGTGAGCACGGTCATGTCTCGGCTCTTCGTACCTTCATTGACCATAATCCAGCTGGTTTTCGAGATCTTTGTATTAAGCATAAGAATACTCCTTTGCATCGTATGAAACTGTCAAGTTTAACAGAATACGAAGAGCTTCTTACGATTCCACGCATGAAAGATCTGATCAATGTTCAAAATTCTCAAGGGAAGACACCTTTACACTTAGCAGTACAAAATCGAATATTACCTTTGACAGAAACATTACTCGGCATGGAAAAAATAGCTTATAACATCAAGGATGAGGACCAAAACACTCCCATTGATTTGTTGGAGCAAGCTTGCATAGACGATAGTGAATGGGTATGCTTTTCAATTTTTCTACTTCCTCCCTTACATATTAGTTGCAACTTTAGAATTTATTATATCTCACAAATAATACCCCAAAGTTACTTTAAGTAAATCACATTAAATCACAAAATTTGTGTACTTGTAGTTATCCATTTTATTGCAAACCATGTGCAGGAAGAAATGTGCCAAAGAATCGGCTTTAATCCATGGATAAAAACATCATACTTCCAGCGTAGGACCAATTTGTTAGAAGTGCGAAATTCACTATTTGTGGTGGCGGCTCTATTAGCCACTATTACATTTACTGCTGGTTTTACTCTTCCTGGCGGATTAAATCAAGAAAGCGGGGAAGCACTTTTAGCAAAGAAGGTTGCATTTTTGGTATTTTTGATGTCTAATACATTGGCTATGTGTACTTCCATGTTGGTTTTGATTTGCCTTGTATGGTCTATGGTCCAAGATTCGAGTAATTCGTTGGTATTGATTGATCGTAGCTTGGTGTTACTCATGGTAGCGTTTTACTCCACTATATTAGCATTTATGACTGGGGTCTATGTGGTTATATACCCAAAGCTTCTTTGGGCAGCCATCATAGTCATCATAATGTGCTCTCTTATTGGAGTTTCGGCGAACAGAACCTTCTTGTACAAAGTGCTATTGATCTCTTCAGCAAAGAAGAAGCAAAATCAGAGAGACCCAATGTATCTGCTTGAATTGGTGAGCTCTCTTGTCCAAGATATATATGTTAATAACTTTAGAGGATTATATATAATTGCTAGTTGTAAATTATGCATAACTTATTTGATGAATCTATGACTTTCAGGGTAAAGCTTTTCGGTGTTGCAAAAGGCAGTAGCAGCCATAAAGTTGAGTGAATTGAAGCAACAAATAAATTCAAAATTCTTGTAGTTATTGGCTTAAAATATTCTTGTGGTGTTTAGCACTTATCATAAGTACTTATTACATGTTTATATATATATATATATATATATATATATATATATATATATATATATATATATATATATATATATATATATATATATATATATATATATATATATATATATATATATATATATATATTTGTTAATCATACATCATTTGTTTTCAGTGTATTATTGATTTATATACTCTGTAATTTTACTTGATAAAGACATCTCTCCTAATTTTTCAAAGCATACGGTGTACGTAGTATATCAATATAAAATGTTGTTGATTGAATTGGTTTAATTTGCATGTATATTCGTAAGTCGTGTATAATTTTTGTATTTTTTCTTTTTTTTTACTAAATAATTAATGATACGCATTGTCAAAGTTACTATTGCTATTTAAAGTGGTGCAGTTTTTGAAAGCAAAGAATTTTATTTTATTTTTTGACAGGACAAAGAAGTACAAGTATTATTTGAGACATTCTTAGTGAAATGAAAACCAAAATAATGTCTTCTAATTAAGTGAATTGAGTGACATTTTTTTTTAAAGAATTTTTATGAGATTTTGGGCACTTAAGAATGTTGTGGGAGGTTGTTTAAGAACTATGTAGTACAATAGTCATAATATAGATACAAGTTGTTGAACCACACTTATATTACTTGAGCAGTTTAGCTTATGCACAGTAAAGCAAGGGGAAAATCAGCTCAGTAATTAATAGAAAAACTATAAAGCTTTGAAAGGGGAAAAATAAATAGGACTTTTGGAGTAGAAAATAGTTCCATTTGCTCTTTAACTAGTCCAACAATTAACCCTAATTTTGTTGTGATATCCATATGTTAATACCTAGCATAATTATAAAAGTTAAGGACAACTTGATTGTAGCAAGCTGTGAAATTTAGTTTATTTTAGGCAATTAGGTTTCAGCTTGACAATGTTGAAGGAGAGGGGAAAGTTAAGGACAACAAAGTAGAAAAACGAAACTTTTCCTCAAAGAAAAAAACTAAAAAAAAACAGGTAGAAAAACAAACTTAAGAATGGGTGAGGTCTAGCACTGTCAAAACGGTTTGACAGTTCGGTTTCGATTCGGTTTGTAAATGGGTCTGCTTGAAATCAGTTCAAGTGCCTTATTGGTCGGTTTCGGTTCGGTTCAAATTATTATCAGTTTGGTTCAGTTTCGGCTTATTCTTAAGCAGTTTAATTCATTTCGGGTTGTAAACGAATTGGTGCAGACGGGTTGCGGTTTGTTAACAGTTCGGGTTGTAAACGGTTCGGTGCAAACAGGTTGCGGTTCGTTAATGGTTCGGTGTGGATGATTTTTATCTCGGTTCAAACGGTTTTGGGTCAGAAAGGTTCAAATCTTTTTTCAGTTTGGTTTTTTTTTTCAATTCGATTCATTAACGGGTTTGATTTTTATACGGTTTAACATTAATCGGATCGGTTCGATTTTGGGTTTACTAAAATATGGTTCGAGTCAGATTTCAATTTCAAAATCGTTTTTATTCGGTTCGGTTCTCATTTGGGTCGTGTTTTGGGTAAAAATGCCCATGACACGTGGTCCAATAGAATGTGACATGTGTCACCTAAAGAGAGGTTCAACGTGAACCAATCTTCTGGCGACACGTGGCATCCCCAAATCATTGGGAAAAAGGCGGCCTTCCTGGCCCAATTTCCGAGAAAGCCCACCATTCCTAGATTTCCGTAACCTAGGATGGCGACACGCATCCCAAGACCCTATAAATAGAGAGATATTTCCACATGGGAATACATTCAGAAATATTCATAAAATAGAGCAATCATTAATTACAGATATTCTCTCGGAAGCCGAGAAGATACTTTACTTTTCGCACTCTTTACATCTTCCGAACACGTTCTAACTTGATCGTCGGAGGCGGAACTCCACCCAACTGGAGTCTCCTTTGTTTTGAAGATACAGGCGCCCAGAATCCAGTCTTGGAATTGTAACTCTCCTGAGGGACACTGAAAACATCGAAACATTTGGCTTCGTCTGTGTGGAGAGTACTTCTAAGATGGCTTCCAATAGGTTTGTATCACCTGCTAACGAGAAACGGCCTACGGCTAAAGTTGAGATCTATACAGACCAAGACAGTGGTGACGACTTTGATGTCGACACCTATGTGGCCTTAGACGGGTCACTCAGAACCAGACACACCCGTCCCATGGAAACAAGGGAACGGGGCGATGATCAAGCCGGTCCAAGCAAGCCATCCGGAAAGCCGGCTGGACAGCCCCAGGCGGCAAAAGGAATAACCTAAGTTACTAGAGACGAACTCATGAAATTCATGACAAGTTTCAAAAGGGAAATAAAGGACCTAATCAACAAAAAGACGGCTGACACCAATAGGGGTCAGTTGGCCAAGAAACCTTCTCCCGCAGGGAAGAAGAAGCCTGTCAAGGATCGTGTGCCTACTCCTCATCCTAAACCAAAGGAGGGGGACTAGCCCATAGTTGATCTGTCTAAAATCCGATCTCCTGAAGCAGGGAAGAGGAAGGTCATCCAACAAGTTTAGCCGAATGGATCAAAGAAGACTTATTCGGATGCCCGAATGTTAATCTAGTAGGAGAAAAGTCAGCAGCTGTCTGAGTCGGCTTCAACGTCAACTTACGTAGACAGCTTCCAGAATACCTCAATGAGGTATTCGCAATCAAACCGAGAGAGTCAGTCAAGCGGCTTGTCTATCTGTACTGGCCCTTAGATTATCCATTAGACCCCGTATGTGCCCCAGCAGCCATACATGCCGTATGGACAACCTTACATGCAGCCAACCCTCTTTGAGGGTCAGACGACACAGAATGTCCAACCAACGGACTGGCAACTTCGTCTGCTCAAACTTGGGGAACAACCTTTTGCGTTCTTTAAGGAGATAACCGAGGCGCCACAACCGACCAAGGTTAAATATGTGTTGGTAGGTACTTATCATGGTACCACCAACCCAGAAGACCACCTAAGTGCTTACACCAATCTCATGTACTTATAGGGGTTGGATGATGCCACTTGGTGCCGATGCTTCCCGACAACATTGAAGGGCATAACCCAACGTTGGTTTCGTAACCTGCCAGCCGGATGCATCAATAGCTTCAAGACGCTTGTGTACTTGTTTTCTTCTAACTTCTCTATGAACATCCCTGCTAAGAAAACAAGTCTCGACTTGGGAGCAATACAGCAGGGAGATAAAGAAGGGCTAAGGTCCTACGTTAGGCGGTTCAATCTGATAAGATTTCAGATTCAAGGGTTGTTTGACGAAGTGGCCTCCACAGACTTAAAAAAGGTACTACTTTTAAGACTTCTAAATTTTTTGTAAATAAAGTCTATCAATGAAAAGATGCTATATTTTCACATATTTATTGCTTTCTTTATAAATATCGTCTGTGCAATGTACAAAAGGACTTGTAAAAAGTTTACGTCTGCTCCAACATGAGTAGATACAAGCTAAGTCCAATACTTAGCAGCTATTAATGAGGCCAATGGCCAGATAACCTTATAACCATCGCCTGCTCCAATATGAGTAGGCAACCGGTGACGCCCCTCTGGGTGAATTCGTCGTAGAGAGCATATCCCATTTGGGTGGTACATTGTTCTATAAACTTAAAAACAAACGGCCCTACCGAGAGCTCAACTTTAGTCTCAAGTTCATGAATTACCAATTGATATTGAGCAACATCAGTGGTCTCAGAAGCATCTTTTTTGGCCTGCCTTACCTCTTCCTACTTCCGGGTATACGGCCTTTTGAGCCCCTCTACTCGCAACGTCATCTGTGTATATGCAAAATGTGTTAGAAAAGCACCCGGTAGTGTACTTGGAAAATGTGAGTAAACTATTTTACCTCAGGTTGAACTGTTGAATCCTAGGAATGACCTCTTTGCCCTCCTTAGGGACAACCTTTAGCATGGCCTTAGAGTACTACTGCACATTTGGCCACCGGGGGGATAGGTTTGCACCAGAAGTTAGATATGGTGAGAAAGCTACATAGGCGCCACCAACTGACTGACGGTTGCCTGAAGAATCCTTAAATTGAAGCTGAGAATATGACTTGACCCGCATGGGCCAACCCAGCTCAAATGGAGAGGTGAAGGGGTTAGCCGTACCTTAGGGATAAGGTTGTGGGCCAACATTGCCTACAGCCGCTACAGAGTCGCTTGCAGCTTTGGGTGGCTGGCCACCCTTCGACGCCTTAGAGGCATCCAGCTGGAAAGAGAGGTATATCCCCACATTAACTTTTTTAATGCTCTTTCCCCCAAGGGTTAGATGGGCCTTCTCAAGCGGAAGCCTTGAAACCGTCTGTGCAAAAGTTTTTCTGGATTTGTTGGAGCTCGAGACCTCCCCACCCGACTTTCGTTTGATTGACTTGGTGAGGGGTCTAGGAGTCGCCTTGTCTCCATCCTGAAACAAACCATACATTAAGCATACAGTTAGAACCAGGCATTAACCATACAACCGGTTCAAAACCGTCTATATAAACAAACAAGGAATTGGGAAAGAAACTAGGGCAGGAAATTTATACCTGGCTTTTGGCCGCCAGTGCGGCCTTCTTCTTCTCCGCATTCTCCTTGAGGATGTCTTCTGCAGAACAAGCATGCATTTTGTCATCTGGAAGCATCCTTCTGTCGGTTTCTGCAAAAGAAAACCGTTTATCAGATTATCAAACAATAAAATTACAAGTTAAAAACAATACAAACATTATAATATTGTCGGATGCATGATCTAAATACGTTTGTCAAAACGCGTGCTCAAACCACAGGCGGACAAGAACGCCTCATCTCTCAAAAACTCATGTTTAGGTACCCAGTTCTTGGGTACGCTTATTAGTTCCCCGGATGAGAGAGTGGCGGTTGTCAGTTTAAAAAACCCCGACTCTATTATTTTTTCATAGTCCTAATCCGGGACTTGTAGAAGCTTGCATTTCTGCCTCAATAGATCCGGCTTCTTGTTGTAAGTGCGGAATTCAAAGTTCTCTCGTTCTTTGGGGGCAGAAACTAAATAGAACTGGTTCTTCCAATCAGACCACTTAG